AGCCAAACTTCTAAAACCACATCCTGTCTTTATCAACCATGCACTCAGAAACCCCCACCACTACACTGAATGTGTTCTAAGGTTTTCAAACGAAATCCGCATTGCCAAATCAACGAGATATTTTGGCCCTCATCCTGTTCAACATCGGCATTCCACTGTTTTCCACACCCTTATTCTTGACTTTTTCTCTGATCTCAGTTTCTGTGGCACCATACTCTAGTCTTTTCTCTAGTGTCTCCAGGCACTCATTCTCCAGCTCCTTCCCTTCAGATCCCCAAATATGGTAATGCCACTTAGCTCAGCCCTGGGTCTATTTTCATAGCCCTATCCTCATTCTGATGAGTTTAAATATATGTTAATACTACACAAATCTATACCCTAGCCTAGTCTTTTCTTTTGAGACCCAGACTTATATATTCAGCTCGACTTACCCACTTAGATATCTCATAAGCATTTTGAATGTGATATGCCCAGAATGGAACTATTTGTCTTAACCCTCAAGAGCTACCCTTTCTCAAGTCTTTCTCACCTTAGAAAATGGCACAACGAGTACAGTTGCTCAAATTAGACATGTGGGAGTCATCCTTGACCCCCTTCCTCACCCTTCCACGTCCTAACTATCACCATGTCCTAACTATCACATTCTCATTATACCTTGTCTCCATCTCTGCTACCAATACCGTAGGCCAAGCATCATCAGCCCTCACCTGGACTCCTGGAGTAGCCAAACTGATGCCACTATGTCCACATAGCAGCTGGAGAGAACTATGCTGTTTCTACAGCTTTATCTCGTGTGCCTATCTCCTGTTCCATTAGGCTCTGGCCACCTGTGGACTTCTTAGTTCCATTTAAAGATCTTTCTTACCTCAAGGTCTTCACACATGTTTCCTTTGGCCAGAATGTCTTGGCTAACGCCTTCACACCTTTTGTATCTCAGCTGAAATGTCACTTCCTCCCAGAGGTTTCTTGACCCAAGAATATCCACTCCCACCAAGAAACACTGTCATATCACAATTTGAAATTTTATATTTATTTCATATTTCCTGCACACGTCTCCATCAGATCAAGAACTGTGTCTATCTTGTTTATGACTCTATATTAAGTATTTAGCCAATGTCAAACAGTAAGTATTTGTTGACTGAACAAACTTCTGTCCTCTTTGTCCTACTTAACACTCATAGCCTGGCAAGATAACCATGCCCTTTTTGTATCACACATAATCCTCTCTCTTAGTGACATGCAAAGGTAATGAGCCTTTGAATCTGGCTCTGACACCCACTACCACACCCACTGTGTGACTTTGGTCAAGTTGCTTAACCTCAGTTGCTTCACCTAGAAAGTGGGAAAAATAATATCTGTCTTTTAGTAATAGTATGAAGATGAAAGTGAGATCATGTATATAAAGTGCTGATCATGAAAGTACTCAGAAAAGTTCCCTTTCTTCCATGCCTCCCAATAAACAAATACTTCTTACCTAATAGCACATATGCATACACAAAACCATCCATCCTGCCCTTCTGAGTCTTCCTGATGGTGACCTTCCTATTGAGATTTTTGCCTTTAGAGGATGAGACACTTAGCCATGAAACAGAATTTATAACATTTAACCAAATATGTAACTGCTGCCCTAAATAACTAGAGTTTGTATTATAAGGGTACCTTCTCAAATATATTTGGAGGTAACACAAAGAGAAAAGGAATAATATTTTTGGTAGTGTAGAAGACATTGCTTTAAAAGAAAACACCAGATGGCAGCACCAGACGCTAAAGAGGTATCTGAAGGGACTTTTAGCTCAAACCTGAGCATAAAACTACATTGAGAGAGATGATCATTTATAGAAAAGATAGTTTCCCTACAGAAAAATAATGCCTACTTTATAATGTAATAAAGGATTTTTAGAAAAGGTGTTTCACATGTGACCAGCATAATCCTAAGGAAATAACCCCAAGCATTATCTAACCAATAAACAGAACAGATTGCAAAGTGTCCATTGAGGTCTTGGAAGAGAACTTGCCTTAGTGGCGTTTGTTTATGTTTAGAAATGATTGAAAGGTGACAGAAGCATCTGTGTCCTAAGAGAACTGAGCCAATCTATGTTGGAAGAACATTCTGAGCAGAAGGTAATTCACTCTGCCAGCGAAACAGTCATGTTGCCCGACTGGAGTGAATTGTTTTCCAAGCACTGTGATCATGGTTCTGAAAAGATTTTCCTCACTTGAATTTACTGCAAGATTGAGCCCCCTGAGAACATCAGGCAAGATCATTGATTCTAATCAGAAGTCAGATCAAGAATTCTAGAGGGAAATTGTTATAATTGACAAGAGAAGAAATGAAGGAAACATTTGAACTCTAAAAAGAATGCATGTGGCCCGGCCGGTGTGGTTGAGCATCAACCTATGAGACAGGAGGTTACGGTTTGATTCCAGGTCAGGGCACATGCCCTGGTTGTGGGTTTGATCCTGGTGAGGGGCATGCAGGAGGCAGCCAAACAATGATTCTCTCTCTCATCATTGATGTTTCTGTCTCTCTCTCCCTCTCTCTCTCTTCCTTTCTGAAATCAATAAAATATATATTTTAAAAAGAATGCATGTGCATCATAGCCAAAAGTCGACCATCACAGGCAGATGAAAATCTGAAATCTAATAATGCATAGGGCAGTGCCCTTTATGGAAAATGTATGATGCACTGCACTACCTAAATTTTAAATGATAAAAGAAATACAGCAATAGACAGGATCAAATCATAAACAAAAGAGAAAACTACAGTTCCCAGGAGAGCCTTTCTGCTGAAAGTACCATTGCACGGCAAACATCTTTTTCAGCGAAGGAATAAAGTCCATTGCTTCCAGATTCTTATGCCTCTCTGAAGCCTAAGGAGATTTCTCCATTGTCATTAAACCAAGCTTGCTTTAAATCTGGCAACTAAAGGGCCCCTATGTTAGATGACCTTTCTCTGACCTCCACTGAAGCCTGCATGGTCCCCAAACAGGCCAGCACACATCTGACAGCTGTGGGCGCCAGTTTCTCACTGACACGTGCCTTTTCACGTCTGGGAGCAGAGTTGGCTGTCCTCTCACACAGCCATGCCCTCTAGATGCCCTTGCTCTGATGAACTCCCCTCTATGCTAAACGCACGAGTCATCGGGGCCCTCGCTGGCCTCTCCTTCTGACATTCTCCCCTCCAGACGACTGCGTGAGTCAGGAGGTGTCCTCTTATGAAGCCGTGGTTCCAGGCCAGCCTCTTTTAGCAGTCGTGACTGAGTGAGAACATGCTGTGCTCAGCCTGTTGGCTCCACTCTTGGGAGCACAAAGTATGTGTTATAACAACAAGCCCAAGAATCCTGACCACACGCTTCCCTATCTCCAGATCTGTAATGAGAACATTTGAAGTAAATGCATACAATCAGGAAACAGGGCTGAAAGTCACACAGGAACAGAGTTGCTGATTGTGACCCCGAGACACGAGCCTTTTGCTCTTTGAATCCAGACCTCACATGTTTTGAAAGAAAAACAACAGCCAGAAGATGGGAAAAACAGATCATGTTTATGAGACCAGCCTGCAGTCCTTGCCACACTTAAGAGTTTGGGTTTTCATCCGGCAAAGAAACCAGCCATCCTTTCTTCAATGTTCATTGGAACACTTACCCAGCTTCTGTCAGTGTGACTCTTCAGCTTTAGGATCATCATCTTGAAATCTTCTAAACCAGCAAGTCCATGTAATGTCATTTTAAACATGGTAGTTTGAGAAAAGTACTAGATATTTGCCAAAATCATACAATGAAAATGTAAGGAAGAAACACTGCATTAAACATAAAAGACCCCCCACCCCCTTTTGGTTTAATACTTTGCAATACCTTGAGTAACCTTAGTTTCCCAATAACAGTCCATTTATTTACTTTTTATTTTTTGAAAACAGTCCATTTAAAGAATCATGCAGGTGGGTGTTTCAAGTAGCAAATCGAAGGAGGAAAAGAGGAGGAGGGGGGGGAGGAGGAGGAGGAGGAGAAGAAGAAGAAAACTGACCACATCCTATTTTTCATGATTTGACATCTGTAAGCTGTGACAAGGACAGCACATCCATCCCCCTGGCTTAAGTGTAGGCCAGAGTCCATGGACCGTGCCCTGTTTTGCAGGTAGCCACCCTCATGAGCATCCTTCCCCAATCCTGGTTGATGAAGAAACTTCAGGTGAAAACCCAACAACACTGCACCCTATGACTGGGAACCCCTGGGTCACGCTTATTTACAATTGCCCAAGTGGCGAGTCAGAGCGTGGTGTCCAACCCAGATAAAAGGTACAGAGCAGCAGCGGGAATTCAGCACGTCCCAGAACCAGGAACACACGCCTCCCTGCTTGGGTGTCTACACTGGGTTAATTCCCCACATACTACAATCATGTAAGCGTTAACAGAAAACATGCTGTATTCACAGAGCACGTCTATTCCTGCGAGTGCGCCAGTGTTTAATTATTGCTAAAGTCATTTGGGGTTTTTGACACAGATTCTATTTTAGTAAGATAAACTCAGCATAACCCAGTGTTGCCAAAAATGAATTCCTAAGGTAGATGACTAAAATAAACTGGTAATAAATATTGGCTTTTGGAACGGGGATTATAGCTCTGTAATGCAGACATAGCATTAATGACTCATTTTCAAATAACAGTCTCTCCCAAGGATTATTGGTGGGAGGGGTCAGGGGGAAAAAAGTTCTCTCTCTCTCTCTCTCTCTCTCTCTCTCTCTCTCTCTCTCTCTCAACAAAATGGAAGAGAACTATGAATCTTCCAGGCAAGGATGTTCTTATGTCTATGTTGCCATCAGAGATACAGCCCCTGGAGTGGGACAGGGGTCAACTTGGACAGGCTGCAATGAGTCAGAAATAGCCATCGAAAGAAACCACTCTAGGGGTTGAGGCAGTTGATTCGGGGTCTGTTTTCTCTCATTCCCCTGGAGACAGTACGCACTGCCGGGTCCAACCAGGGCATCTCATGTGGCATGAATTACCTTATCAGTCACAGTGGGTGCGGCCTCGTGCCTTTGCTGCTTGAAATTAGTGGACTCTTTCAGGCCACCTTTACTCTCTAAAGTCAAATTCTGAATGCGTGGCCCACTTGGTTGAGCCTTACAACTTCTCAGATGCACCAGAAGGCGCTGGGGAGCAAAGGTCCGGCTACAGTTTGGGCAGGGCTCAAGCTGAGCTTCACTTGGCCCCTCGCCAGGTACAAGGGGCTGAGGCTTCTTCTGTGGGAATGGCCGGCGGAGCTCCCTAGGGAGCCGGTCATTTTCTGTTTTCCACTTTTCCAGGCATTTGGGCTCATGAATAGGAAGGGAGAGGGAGCCAAATTCCCTGCCACAAATGTAGCAGAGGAGAGTCCTTGGTCGAGCTGAGACACCACCAGAAGCTTTCTTAAGACCAGTAAGGTCATTAGAATTGTTGCTGTTTGGTTCTCTGGGCCCACCACCCTTGGGCTTGCAACTTCTCTGGTGAACAAGAAGACGGTCTGGCAAGAATGTGCGGCCACAGGATTCGCAGGGCAGCAGCTGGGCCTGAGAAGTCTGGAACGCTGCCTCGTTCATTGCCTGAAGAATGTAGGACCCACTGCCGCCGCCCAGGGGCTGTGGTTTGGAGGGTTCTGGCCTCCGCTGGTGCTTGGGCAACTTGCTGTTTTCAATTCGCCACTTCTCCAAGCACTGGGGCTCATGGATGGCGAGTGATTGGGACCCAAATTCTCGGCCACAGATATAGCATATGCGGAATGCGGGCCTGCGGGACGGGATCACGGGTGGGCTAGGCTGGCTTTCCGACATAATTCTCTTACCGGACCGTTTTGAGAGGATCACAGTTCCAGGCCTAGTTTTCTGAGGGTTTGTCTTTATGTTTTCAGCAGGATTGACTCGCTCTGTTTCTGGCAAAAGGCTAGAAGAGGAGTCACGAGACAGAACAGCGTGGTTGATAAGGAAGGTAGGTTCTTTAGAGCGATGGAAAGTTTGTTGCAAGTTTTTGGAAACCCTTTTCTCCTTTCCTCTTTCCATTAACGAATAAATCTTTCTTTTAGTCCTTGCTCTGATTTCAGCCCAGTTTCATTTGGGGCTTCTTCTTAGAAGTCAGGGTGGCTCTCCTGGGGTTCCACATTGTAGCCAGTACCTTAGCCCTTCAGGCCAGGACTCAGAGCTTCATTGAGGGGCAGCAGCCTGGAGCACTGCAAAGTCCCCATTGAACGCCCCGTGCCTCCGAGATCTGTGGGAGAAACAAATCCAGAGTTATTACACACACACACACACACACACACACACACACACACACCTGTTAGATTAAAAGTTCATAAACAGCAGAATTTTGTTGTTTTGCTTAGTATCCTCTCTCTGGCTAGCACAGCAACCAGCACATAGGATTTTTCAGTGTTCAAATAAAGTTTAAGAAAATTTCCATTGTGAATTGCACTGTCACTGTATTGAAACTAGTATTCTGCCCAAAGAAAGATCGACATTTACTGCTGCACCTCATAGACACACCTGACACAAACCATCAGAGGCACCGTGCTGAGGTTGTAAGAGAGAACCAAGAACTGTGAACATCAGATAATGAAACCGCAGGTCACCTGAGAAGACCTCCTCCCACTGCCTGAGGGAGTCTGGACGTTTCAGTGCCAGGTTCCCTTTGACAGGGCTTGAAGCCTATGGACCTCTTTTTAGAATAATGATTTTAAAAGCAAAAAATAATATTCTTATGATGACAAGTAAAACTAATTTTATGGAAATAATTTATCAGATACTTTTACTTGCTTTATATATTTTATTTGAAATATAGTAGTGTGCCAGACTTCTGGAGTGTCTGAGGTTAAAAACTCCTACAGAAGAAGTAATTCAACAGTGAATATCATGAGAATATTATGAAATATTATGAAAACTTTCAGAGGGAGTGTAAATGTCTTTTAATCTACCAGGTATCCACTTTTCTTTATTATGGGAATGGAGTATTAATAAATTGTGGCCATGACTGTCAAACCAAGAATGCAACTCAGGCCTGTCCTCTTCCTGGTGGGATATGTACAGATTTTCCCTGGGGTGAAGAAGCTCAGACTGTGTGTGATGGCCTTTTATAGCCATTATGCTCGCTACCCTATTTTATATCTATCTATCTATCTATCTATCTATCTATCTATCTATCTATCTATCATCTAATCAAATATTTTTTATAAAAACATAGCCAATGGTTTTCCCCCAGCTAAGCAGAAGACAGAGCTGATAAGATCTCATTATGGGCAGAGTCTAGGAGTTGTTACCTTGGGGAAAGGGATGAGACAATATTACCCAGGGTTTACAATCTAGCCCCAAGAAAGACTATTTTCCAGAAGTCTTAGGACCGTCTTTACTTCCTGAAGGATGACTTGGACCTGAATTAGAAGCTTTGTAGCATCCGTTCCCAATCACAGACACTGACCATGGCAGACGTGAGTTCAGGCAGAGGGAGGATGGCAGTGCTATCAATATCAGAATTCTGTTTGGGCTTTGTGCTCAATAAAGGACCGAAGGAGCTGTGAGATCTGTGCCCAGTTCCTGTATTTTGGTGCCAAGAAAGGTCTGAATCTTTGCAGTTAAGACTATCAAATTAGGTCTGGCACAGAAAAGGGAACTATTTTTCATTTTGACAGATCCTAAGACAGTGATATTAACACATGTGACAAAAGAATGTGTTGGCCCCGGAGTGATCAGCACAGAAAATGAAGCTTAGAGAAACAAAATGTATCACTTGATCAGCACCATCCAAAGGAGAACGTGAATCTAGAGAACACAAGGAATCCGGTAAAATTATTTTATCAGCAAATGGGTGAAATAATACCCCAAACCACTCTGCTTTGTTGCTTTTGTTTCTTTTTTTAAAAAAATATACTTTATTGATTTTTTACAGAGAGGAAGGGAGAGGGATAGAGAGCTAGAAACATCGATGAGAAACATCGATCAGCCGCCTCCTGCACACTCCCCAAACCAAGGTACATGCCCCTGACCGGAATCGAACCTGGGACCCTTGAGTCCACAGGCCGACACTCTATCCACTGAGCCAAACCAGTCAGGGCTGCTTTTGTTTCTTGTTCACCGAGATCTCCTCTTTTAGTTTCCCATTTTCCTTGGTACCAGAAATTTTCATACACCTAATGTAATTAAGAAGGCTCTGGCTGGGTAGCTGAGTTGGTTAAATCATTGTCCCGATAAGCCAAGGTCGCAGGTTCAATCCCCACTCAGGGCACATACAAGAGTCAACCAAGGAATGCATAAATAAGTGCAGCAACAAATTAGTGCAGCAACAAATTAGTTTTCTCTCTCTCTCTCTCTCTCTCTCTCTCTCTCTCACACACACACACACACACACACACACACACACACACACACACACAGTTCCCAGCAGATTAGAATACTGAGAAAGCTCCATGACTTGCCCCAACAACTCCTCCATTCCCCTTATGATAAATAAGAGAACTAATATTTATTGAATGCCAACTATGCATCAAATATTGTGCTAATTTATATATATATAATTTAATTCTCAAATGATTATGAGGCAGGTATTATTATTTCAATTTTATAAACAAAGAAACTGTGACTCAGAAAAGATGAATAACTTGCCCAAGACAGTCAGTTTCTAAATGACAGAGCAGGGAACCTATTCCAGCTCTCTTTGGCTCCGGTACTCAGCTCTTTCCATTATTCATTCTGCCTAAAATTCTGCCGGCAGAGCTTCTTCTCTTTCATTTCTGTCCCTGTTTTAATGGATGATTCATATGCCCCGTGGAAAGGTACCTAAGCCCCCACCAGCCTTTAGGAGAAGGAAGAGGCAAAAGGGAGGAGGGGATAAGGCATGGAAGAAGAGAAACCTCTGTGATGGAAAAAGCAGGAGAGACTGATTGGGGCTACGGAAGACAGGTTTTTCCCTTAAGTGACAGGGATCATTTATTTTGCTGTAAGTGGTTTTCTAGATGAAGCTTTCCCCTGCAAGGTGGGCAATGCACATCCTTTTCCTGATCTCATCAACATCCTTCAGAGGAATGACCTACTGACCAGGACGGGGATGGATGAGGGGGAACTGGGTGCTATAACGGGTACAGGGTGAGAGCGAAGGCCGCCTGAAGGGGCCAGATGGTGTTCAGTTTGCAGCCACCTCAGCACTTTGATGAGGAATGGATCTGTATTTTTGCAGGTGTGTGTGCACTGCAAATATTTTCTCTGAAGCAAACATCAGCATCATAAAATTCCCAACCGAATCTTCACCTCTTCTTTTTGTATCATCTCTTTCTCCCTCCAATGTCCTCCTGAAATTTGCTTTATTGTGATTAAAGGCAACAAATTATTAAAGATGAGGTAGCTGGAAGCGAGTGAAATTCTTGGAAACTGAAAACTTTATGAAGTTGCTGCCAGTGATTCTGACAAGGCACGGCCTGGTCAGCTGCTCTGCTCTATAAGTTTGTTCTAAAAGCAAAAACGCTGGAAAGTACTAAATGCATATACTTACATTACTTAAGAAATTGGCCTGTCACCAGACATATTGTAAATAAATGTTGCTAGTTTATAAAGAGAACCACTTTGCAAAGCCAGCTAGTTTCACCCCGAGCGTCCATGGAGAAATGTTCACTCCAATTGGCCTGACCATATTTGCACATAGGAGATTTAAAGACTGTTTTGGAAGGCCATGTTTTATCAATATGATGCCATTTTTCCATGCCCTTTGGGGTTCATCGGAAGGGAGAGACAAACTCTCAAGGATAAATACAATAACCTTGGAAATGCAAAACCCATCTTGGCATTAGAAGGTGCTCCTCTATAAAAGAGGGAAAAGAACACAACCAAAGTGATTAAATCTCATTTTAAAAAAATTTAGTCCTTAGGAACAAAATAAATATGTGATACATGAGCCCTTCCCTGTTTTAGTATAGAATCCAAATTCTTTAAATGGACAAATGAATAAATAAGAAACATGGAGTTGGGGCTAATGCTTACTTTGAGCAAAATTGTAAAATAGAGGAGGCTTGTCCTTAATATCCTCCATCCACCCTGTTCCCCAGCTTCTACTCTCCCCTGCCCAGTGCCCTCACATACTATTTGGTCTCCATTACCTATGAAATCTCACTTTCAGAAAGGAGCTGACAGACTTATTCACATCAAGGTTTATGATTGATGAGGTAATAACCCTCCCAGAGCCTGGCAGAAACAGCTAGTTCCTTACCAGTAGTTATTCTGCCCAACTCACTCAAATTAAGAGAGCGCCAATTTTTAGCTGGACACACAAATTCCCAGCTACAACTCTAGAGGCTCCTTTGTAGCTAGTGAAGTATTGTGTGTGGCTTGTAAGAACGCTTCTTAGAATGCAGGGGTATAACTTGTTCCTCTTCCCTATGTTCATGCTGATGCTTAGAACATGGATGTGATGGCTGGCATCTAGCAGCCATATAGGACCAGGTTATATTCATGTGACCTCGACAAGGCAGAGCAGAGACCTGGATGGACTTGAATACCTGATAATGTTGGAGCCACCGTACAAGTAACTCCCTTGGGCTTTATGTGCATAATGAAATAAATGTTTATTGTATTTTAGCCACTTTTAAAGAGTCTCTTACATGAAAACCTAACTCAATTGAGATGTAGTTGTATTTTAAATAGTTGTCATTGGTTTCACATAAAATGAATTCTAATAGTAATATTTCAAATTTTAGGATCTTTTTTGATGAAATAATTTTTTTTTGAGAAAGTGTATGTTTGGGGGCAAAATTGACTTATTAAATATATACTTTTTTCTGAAAATCAGAAATAAAAAACTTGAAACTGGAAATACTGAACCAATGGTTCTTTAAAAATTGCAAGCCATCCTTTCCTAGATTTTTTTGTTGGAACAAATTTGAATGGCATTTTTTACTTCTGAAAAATGAAAACCTAGTTTTTCCCATGATGAGCTTTTGAAAGAGCAACGAGGCATCATTGTTGGGCCAGTTGTTAACTCACTGTCTCTATACTCAAAATGCCCTTTTCTGTGTTCAGCTCTGTGATGCTGTCACTGGGACTCTGCATACCCCATTTCTGCTTTGTCAGCTGACCCTGAGTTATGTTCTGCCAACAGTGGAAATGAAGGGAGAATGCAAGGTTGGAGGACAAAGAGAGGACTTGCTCCTTTCTAAAGGCTCCCTGTCTGCTTGTGCTTCCTGTGACATCACCCCACCAACACTGCATCCCAACAGAAGCAGTTCTTTCCTG